CTTCTCTGGGCCGGAAGCACCCCGGGAGGGAAAGGTTCGCAGCTGGGGGCGCTCACCTGCCACCTCCACGATCTGGTGCCGGGCGATGTCGTAGTAGGGGTCATCCCACTTCAGGTGTGTGACGGGTTCTGGGGAGCTGCTCTTGGAGTCATCTGGGGAACACGGCAAAGTCAGGATGATCTGGGGGGCTGCTCCCATGTGCTCTCCGAGATACTCGCTCTTGGGCCCTCCCCCTGGTAAGACCTGTGCCCCAGCTCGACCCCAGCCCCAGGCCGGTCTGCTTGCCCCCATCCTGCCTTGCAGGGTCTCCCTTCAGCAGTGTGGGGGTCTCCCCTGCTAAACTGCCCGCCGCTGCCCGAGATGCGGCACTGCCCACCTGACTTGGGAAAGTCGGGCATCTCATCCGAGGGCCAGTTCTTCTCGTCGATGGAGGCCAGCTTCAGCTGGTTCAGCGCCTGGCTCGAGTCGTCCAGGATCAGGTCGTAGTCTTGCAGCTCTGACAGCGGATCCATGGCCAAGCCTGTCGCCCTGCAGAAGCCGAGGGGCACCCTGCGAGGGGAGGCATGGCGGCGGGCCAGGGTCAGCGACCTCTGGAGTTATCTTTCGCAGCATCTACAGTGAGCACCCTGCCCTCCCCCACCCTTCCCCAAGCTCCCTGGTCCCTGTCCCTCAGCCCCTGTCATCCTGCCAAGAACTCCAGGGAGTGAGGTGCCAGGAAAGGCAGCTGGAGCGGAGGGCAGCACGGCTCGGCCTCCCCCTTCAGGTCCTCCTGCTGTGCCAGGTCCCACGCCGCCTGACCCCTGGCTGGCCTGGTCAGGCAGACCCAGCTGCAGAGGCCGGAGGTCGGCGCCCCCCTCTCTGGAGGCCCAGAGCATAGACTTGCAGGCTCCAGCAGTTACAGCGCTGCACCCCACGCCTGAAACAGGTCAGCTGAGGCCCTGGCCGCTCCAACCCTCCCCTGGCTAGAGACCACAGGTCCCAGAAAAAAGGCCTGCCTCAGGGGCTCCACTGGGTTTGCCCTGGGATGGGAGCCAGCAGGAGGGACGGAACCTGCCTGCCAATCAACAGCAGACAATCTGCAGGCATCTAGGGGCTTCCAGGCCACGCTGAACCCACCGGGGAGCACCTGGCACTAGTATCAAGGTGGAAAAGACTGCTCCAAGGACACGGAGGGCAAGGGGGCGCTCACGACACCCGGGGTGCTGAGATGAGAGGCCACAGCAGGGAGCAAGGGTTTCCCAGGCCTAGATGTGGCCGCCAGGAGGAGGAAGCCTGCAGCAGAGCGGGGCAGGCACCACCGGCCTGCAGCCCCAAGGAAGGAAGGGAAGCAACTCCCTTTCCTGCCACAAGCTCACCACCCGGGTGGCGAGGGGTGCTTTAATTCAACCCATTTGGTCCAACCCCAGGGAAGAGGTTGCTGTACGCCCAGCCGCATTCCTGGAGCCCAAAAAAATGACATATATGGTCAGAGAGTGAGCAAGGCAGATAAGGAGAGCAGACAAGGCCCGGGGGTGGGTAGGAGGAAGAGGGGGAGAAGTGCCATCCGAGAGCCACAGATCCGGGCTCTGACGCGACGTGCCAGCCTCCCGCACGCTTCACAGCCACGGGCTCTGCACTGCAAACCGGCTCCCTGTGCCTAGCAACCACCACCCTGTTGCCAGGGTGACCACACGGATTCAGTGGCAAAAGCTGTTTCAAGCTCCCCAGCCAAAGCCAAGCAGCCATACTACCAAAACACTCGTCCTCCACTCCTCCGCCTCCTCTGGCCGAGCCACCACTCTGGTCCCCACCCTTGCTCACCACCAGAATACACGTCCCTTCTGGAGCCCGCACAGCAGGACGACCCTGCCCCATCAGGAATGCCCTTCCCAAGGCCGGTACTACTGTGCCCCTCGCCCATGAAGCCCAGCTCCAGCCACCCCACCCCCACCCACAACTCTCAACCCTTCAGTGCGGGAAATCTTCCACCCCTAACCCATCCACCTGCTCCTCCCGTCATGCACCAGGAAACACGAGGGCTCCTCCCAGTAGCAGCCCCCAGCTGGGTAACGGGGTAGAAACCACTGCTCAGCCGACGCCCTCCGGGTCTGAGCCTTCCGTCTGTCTCCTGTGTTCTGTCACAGCCCAGACAGCTCCGGCCACAGGCATCCCAGGGAAGAGTTCTGCACACAGCGGCTGCCTGATGCAATGCAGGCACGGGAGCAGCCTTGTCGCCTAGTGGTTAAGGCACCTGCACCCACAGTGAAGTGCCTGGGTTTCATTCCTGGCTCTTTTTTTTTTTTTTTTTTAAGATTTATTTATTTGAAAGGCAGAGTTACAGAGATAGAGAGAGGAAGAGAGAGATCTTCCATCTGCCAGCCCACTCCCCAAATGGCCAAGATGCCAGGCGCCATGAGTTTCTTCTCCGTCTCCCAAGACCCTGAGGGTCCAGGCCATCAGTGGGGAGCTAGATCAGAAGCGGAACAGCCAGGACTGCAACTGGCGCCCCCAGGGGACGCTGGCACCGCAGACGGAGGCTCAACCCACTGTGCCAAAGCGCCAGCTCGCAGCTCTTGACTCTGGACTCCAGCTTCTGGCTGATGCAGACCCTGCAAGGCAGCAGTGGGGGCTCAAGTGGCCGGGTTCCTGCCGCCCGCGTGGAAAACCTGGATAGCATTCCTGGCTCTGGGCTCTGGCCTTGACCCAATATTGGCCATCACAGGCCTCTGAGGAACCAACTAGAGGATGGGCATTCTCTCTCTCTGCCTCTCAAATCAATGAAAAAGGGGGGAGAGGGGAGCCTGGGATGCGGTATGTAGAGGACTGAATTATAGTCCTGTCTAAGCAAGGAACTGCATGCATGCTGGGCAAGTCCTTTTCCTACCTGGGCCTAAATTCCTCCATCTGTCACAAGAGATGGCTTGGGGCCACCATTGTGGCACAGCAGTTTAAGATGCCACCTGCAATGCCGGCACCCCATACTGGAGCACTGCTTTGAGTCCCAGCTGCTCCGCTTCCAATGCAGCTCCCTCCTCACGTGCCAGAGAAAGCAGCAACAGATGGCCCAAGTGCTTGGGTCCCTGCCACCCACATGGGAGACCTGGATGAGTCTCGGGCTGCTGGTTTCAGCCTGGCCCAGACCCAACCACCCCAACCATTGCAGCCATGTAGGGAGTGAACCAGTGGATGGAAGGTCTCTGTCTCTTCCTCTCTGTAACTCTGCTTTTCAAACAAATAAAGAAATCTTAGGAAGGGAGGGGGGGAGGGAGGGAGGGGAAGCTCCCCCCTGAAAGGCAGTACTCCAGTGTTCAGAAATACTCGGGCTGCAGTGGCCACGGGACCAAAAGGAGCGGCGGCAGCTGAGGTATGAGGGAGGGAGAGGAATGTCCGCTGAGAGGGAACACAATGTGCACCCCACCTCCCTTCCAGAACCCCTCCATTCTGTTGGCCCTTCTAGATAGCCTCCCTCAAGCCCCCTCAAAGCCTCCTTTTCCAGCCTAACTGATCAGTTCTCCCCGCCCCCTGCCAGACCGGCCTCTCCCCTCCCTCCAACCCCACAGCTGCAGCATTCATTCTGCGAGAGGCGGAAGGCTCACCTAACGTCACGGAAAGGGAGCATGAGCCACCACCCAGCCCCACCCCGGCCTATCCTGAGGGCCGTCTTTCCTGTCTCAGCAGGTGAACCATCTACTTGTACAAAAACTTTTGAGAAGCACTTCAGGTACAGTTTTTCTCTGTGGGAAATCTATGAACCTCATGAAACTGATGACATCTGTGGGCACTTTTTTCTCTAAGAAAAAAATGACACATGAAATCTCACAATTTTCTGAGAATCACCATTCAAGAACGCCTGCCCTATGCAGAACACCCCCAGGCGCACAACAGATGCTCAGCCACTTGTTGAGGGATGGAATGAAGTAATTCATTCCCTAAGTGAAGTAGGAGACAAATATTTGTTGAGGGCCTCTGTAACACCATGAACCAAGTCCACACTACCTTCTAACTTCACAACGGCGCTCGGAAACCATCAACCACTCAGCCCATTTACACTTGAGAAAGTTAAAGATCAGAACAAAATCAACCAATTATGAGGGTCGTCTACAGTCCGCAGAGGCAGGATTTTAATCCAGGTCAATCAGTCTGATAGTCTTTTGGTGAAGGTCAATGCCCAAGGAATTCCCTAAGTGATTGTCATCCATGCGATTCTCCAGGCTCACAGAGGGACCACAAGAAGGTAGATGAACGCCTGTCCCCCAATCTCTTCCACTTAGAACAGAGAGGGCCACTTCCAATCGCAATCCGCCTCCCCCAGTCGCAGTCCCACTTGCAAAACTTCGAGTTCCACCACATTACAACAGCAAGACTCTCAACTACAGCCAGGTTTGCACAGAGCTTCTCGGTTTACGAAATCCCTGAGGGGTGTAATTATCCCATTTCCCAGACTGAGAGAGCGTGGCCTAATGAGTGGCAGGGTGGCACACTGCCCCCAAACTTATCGCTCGGACTGCTCCGCCAGATTGGGCCGGGGAGCCTTCCCCCTCCCACGGGCTTGCTCGAGGACATCGACCTGGCCTGGCCCCCGCCCTGGGGAGGGCTGGAAGAAGGCAGAGAAGGGGGCGAGGTCTTCTGCAAGGCGCCAAAGCGAAGCAGAATCCCCGGAGCGGAAAAGCCAGGCCACCAGGCCCGGTGCCACCCCCGCGCCCCCTCCTCGGATCCGCCCGGGTCCTCCCTTCCCGGACCCCATCCCTGCAGGTGGCGTGGCCATCTCCTCCCCCTCGCCACCCCGATCGCGGGGACACCCCGCGCCCAGCAAGCTCACCGCGCTCGGACACTGCTCCCTCCGCCACGCCCGTCAAAGCTCGCCAAACATCCGGATCCGCGGTGGAACGGGCACCGCCCCCTCTTGCTCGCCCCACTCCCCAACCACTTCCGCCACACCTCCAATTCACTTCCGGCCCCCTGCCCGGTCCAAACCCGGCCATTCCGGGAGCCCCGCCCACTTCCTGCACTAGCCCGCCCTAGTGCCCGTCTGCGAGAGAGGCAGCGTAACTGTCCGGCTCATCACGCCCACGAGGACGTGGCTGGAACCTTTAGTTCCGGTTTCCCCAGGGACTCGATCCTGGCGGCCTCCGGAATCCTAGGTGCATGCTGTTCTCAGACAGAGATTTGCCTCACAAGTACTCCCAGTCTCCTGGTCCTCTGCGCCAAAGAGCTCCGAATCTTGGGATTCTTTTCTGAAAAGAAATTTGGAAGTCAGTGACTGTTTCCGGGGGGAGCTGAGAAGCGGACGGTCACTTCCGGTAGAGGGAGGCTTTCTGACCCCGGGATGGAGGAGGCGGAGGAGTTGCTCGTGGAGGGGGCGAGCCTGCCGCTTGGTGAGTGACCTGCGAGGTCGGCGACCCCCAGCCCTGGCCTAGCGGGGCCCGGCGGCATCTGGCCAGCTCTCTCCCCTTCGTCCTTTTACCTCCCGAGCCCAGGATCTTCCTTTGGTGCCGTAAGAGTCAATGGGGGGACTTTAAAATTATTTATTTGTTGAAGAGAGAGACTCTCGTCTGCTGGTGCACCCCCCAAATGCCTGCCGGGGCCAGGCTGAAGCCGGGAGCCAGAAATGCAATCCGGGGCTCCCACGTGGGTGGCAGGGATCCAACTACTTGAACCCTGGCCACTGCCTCCCAGGGTTTGCATTAGCGGGAAGCTGGAGCCAGCCGGGGTGAGGAACCCCAGCCCTCCGTTATGGGAGACGGTGCCACAACCGTCTGCACAGACGGCCGCCGGCCCCTGAGCTGCCCTGAGACCTCCCAGGGGCCTCCCTTAGAGCCCTGACCTAAGCCTCCTGTGGCCTGCCTCGAGTTGTGGTTTCTTCCACACCTTTGCCCTCTCTGCCTCACTGTCTTCTCATCTCCCTGCAGCTCTGGGCCAGAACTCGGGATGGAGCCCTTCCGGAGTGGGCGGTGCCCAGGGCCTGGAAGATGTAGCGCCTGGACTGAGCCGAGCCGCCCTGGCTGTGAAGAGCCTCCCCCGCGGCTTAGCCCTGGGCCCCTCGCGGGCAGAGGAGCAGCACTTGGGTGTCTGGTGTGTCGGGGAGCCCCTGCAGCCTGGACTGCTGTGGGGACCACTGGAGGAGGAAACTCTCTGCGAGGGAGAGAAACCAGGGCAGGAGGTATCTGAGGATCAGGGCGTCTCCTCTCCTTATTTGAAAATTTAAGAGAGATTAAGCCATTCCCAGATGGCTGCCCACGCGGTTGGAAGCAGGGTATTGGCTGTGTCCCATCTCTCCAGGATGGTGTCTCTCCTCCCAGTTGCAGTAGTCACGAAATCAAGGGGCAAGAAGTTGTTAGAAGCTGGATTAGTTTAGTGTCAGCAGTGACAAAAGTCAAGAGCTGAGGTTTTGTTTTGTTTTTAAAGATCTATGTATCTATTTGAAAGGCAGAGTTAACATAGAGAGAGGAAGAGAGACAGAGAAGTCTTTAATTCGCTGGGTCGCTCCCCAAATGCTCAGACAGCCAGGGCTGGACCAGGCTGAAGCCAGGAGCCCAGAACTCCTACCAGGTCTCCCACGTGGGTGGCAGGGGTCCAGGCACTTGGGCCATCCTCCCCTGCCTCCCCAGGCACATTGGCCGGGAGCTGGATTAGGGCAAGTGGGACTTGAACCAGCGCCCACATGGGATGGCAGCTGAACCCTCCACACCACATTGCCGGCTCTGAGCTCAGGTTTTTACAATTAGAAAGACGAGGGATCAGATCCCAGCCTGATCCCCTGGGTAGTTAGATTACATGCCTCAGTAAATCTTTTTTTTTTTTTTTTTTTTTTTTTTTTTTTTTTTTTTGACAGGCAGAGTGGACAGTGAGAGAGAGAGACAGAAAGAAAGGTCTTCCTTTTGCCGTTGGTTCACCCTCCAATGGCCGCCATGGCTGACGCGCTGCGGCCGGCACACTGCACTGATCCAAAGGCAGGAACCAGGTGCTTCTCCTGGTCTCCCATGCAGTGCAGGGCCCAAGCACTTGGGCCATCCTCCACTGCACTCCCTGGCCACAGCAGAGAGCTGGCCTGGAAGAGGGGCAACTGGGACAGAATCCGGCGCCCCGACCGGGACTAGAACCCGGTGTGCCGACGCCGCTAGGTGGAGGATTAGCCTATTGGCCTCAGTAAATCTTAAAAAAAAAAAAAAATTACGTGACTATCCCAGGTTTATTTAGCTGATGAGATTAAATAAGGCACGATTTTGTTGTATCATTAATGCAGTTTTTTTTTTTTTTTTTAGTTGATGTTCCTCTTTTTTAGTACTCACTAGAAGGCAAGAATGTGTTCAGTGTAGTAACTACACTCTTGGGAGGGAGATGAAGGGACAGTCTTTTTGGTCTTGACAGAATGAAGAGTCAGCATCAGCCTCTACGTTTCTGGGAGTTTCTTGTTAGATCTGTCTTGGAGGGGTTGTGTCCCGAATTTTGGTTCTTGTTTGTCACCCACCCCGCTTGCTCCTTCAAGCACATATAAGAAGGACGTCTCTTGGTTTATTTCAGGATCTGTCACTAGGCGCGTGGGGAGGCGTGTGTGCCTGTGAGCGCAGTTCAGGGTGGACCAGGTGAGTTAGAGGTGCGTGCAGTGAGCCCCAGGTGGGGACGGCTGTACCTCCCTGCCCAGTGAGCCTGGCACTGCGTCCTTGTGCATTCACGGAGCCGAGGAGCTGGGCTTTCAGCTGAGAAGGTCTCCTAAGCCGGCTCTTGCTCTGCTTTGCAGCTGGGTGCGACGGGGCAGGCTGCAGAGTGAGGGGAATGTGGCCCCAGTGCGGATCAAGCAGAGGCTCCACCTGCAGGTGCGCCAGGTCGTGCCGCCGGGCTCTGAGCTGCTGCTGCGGCCCCCGCCTCCCTCTAAGGGCCCGAGCCCCGCTCAGCCTGGGCTAGAGGAAGAGGCAGCGGCGGTGGTGGCGACAGAAGTGGAGTCTGCCGTGCAGGAAGTGGGCTCCCCCGAGGAGGATGCCACAGAACCTTGCGCAGGTATGTTGAAAAGCACTGGCTCCAGGTCATCACCGGGACAGCCTGTGATACGGCGAAGCCGGAGCAGTCATGGCTCGGTGGGGTAAGGCCGAGCGCTGTGGGGTCCCGGCTGCTTTTCAAAGTCTGCTTTAAGGTGCATCTGTCAGGCTGGGATGGGAATGAGGGGCTTGGTCAGGACTGAGGAAGAACCTGACTTGGTGGTTGAGGGTTGGTGGACACAGCAAGGCCAGAATTCTTTAAGGATTCAGAGTACCTTGAGCTACTCACTATGAGTTGATGTTTGGTTGAGGGGTCGTGGGTCTTTTCCTTGGAGTAAACAATAGAGTGCTGTAACTGTTACTTTCCCAAGAGTTGCTGGGAACAGTTCAGGGTGTGTTGACACGTTAAGCTGTTCAAGGTTTCCAGTTTCTTCTCTCTGGAGTAGGAAGGGGAGGGCCTTTTCTAATGAGCTAAGGTGGGAAGGCGGGGTCTTGACTCACCTCCTAGGGGTGTGTCCAGAGAGAGAAAACCAGGGGCCCTTCCTCTGGCGGGGCACTGCGGTTCCAGGCCCCCGGGACTGGGCAGGCAGAGAGAGTGTGTGCAGCTCAGGCCGCAGGGCAGCGACGAGTGCCATCGCCGCTACTCAGCTTCAGGGCCTGGACGGGAGACACACACTTCTGCGATCTCTGGGAACCGCACTGCTGCTAGGCTCAGCTGAGGCCTGCACCTCACTGTCGCCCTGCAGATCCTGGCCATCAGTCACCTCCCGGCATCCAGGCAGAGAGCGTGCTGAGCCCCGGACCTAAGCCCCAAGCCCAGGAACAACTCCCCAAGGATACCCAACCAGCTGGCCCTGTGCGGCAAGATGGCACCACGGAGGAGGCGTGTCTGCCGCAGACACAGGCGCAGCCTGATCCTCGGAGCAGCTCAGCCACCCAGCAGGGCCCAGAGCACAGCGAAGCCAGTTTCCCATCAGCCCCCGGGAGCACCCAGGCAGATGCTCACCTGGCCAAGAAGTTACCTAGCCCCGGTGATCAAAGCTCTCCCGGAGCAAAGACCTCAGAGCCCAGGGCCCAGCACCCTGGCTTCCCGGGACTCCCGCAGACCCCTCCTCGCCCAGCCGTGAGCTCCCCAAAGCAGGGGCGGCGGTACCGGTGCGGCGAGTGCGGCAAGGCCTTCCTGCAGCTGTGCCACCTGAAGAAGCACGCGTTTGTGCACACGGGCCACAAGCCCTTCCTCTGCACAGAGTGTGGCAAGAGCTACAGCTCGGAGGAGAGCTTCAAAGCCCACACGCTGGGCCACCGCGGCGTGCGGCCCTTCCCTTGCCCGCAGTGCGACAAGGCCTACGGCACCCGGCGAGACCTCAGGGAGCACCAGGTGGTACACTCAGGTGCACGGCCCTTTGCTTGTGACCAGTGTGGCAAGGCCTTCGCCCGCCGGCCCTCCCTGCGGCTGCATCGCAAGACCCACCAGGTGCCGGCTGCTCCGGCCCCGTGCCCGTGCCCCGTGTGCGGGCGGCCCCTGGCCAACCAGGGCTCCTTGCGGAACCACATGCGGCTGCACACCGGGGAGAAGCCCTTCCTGTGCCCGCACTGCGGCCGGGCGTTCCGCCAGCGGGGCAACCTGCGCGGGCACTTGCGCCTGCACACCGGGGAGCGGCCTTACCGCTGCCCACACTGTGCCGAAGCCTTCCCCCAGCTGCCCGAGCTGCGGCGCCATCTCATCTCCCACACCGGGGAGGCGCACCTGTGCCCCGTGTGCGGGAAGGCCCTCCGAGACCCACATACCCTGCGCGCCCATGAGCGCCTGCACTCGGGCGAGAGGCCCTTCCCGTGTCCCCAGTGTGGCCGTGCGTACACGCTGGCCACGAAGCTGCGGCGCCACCTCAAATCCCACCTGGCAGACAAGCCCTACCGCTGCACCACCTGTGGCATGGGCTACACCCTCCCACAGAGTCTCAAGCGCCACCTGCTTAGTCACCAGCCCGAGGCACCCTCCAGTCCCCGCCCCGTGTCCCCTGCTGCCTCGGAGCCCACCGTGGTGCTCCTGCAGACGGAACCCGAGCTGCTAGGCCTGGGCGGCGAGCGGGCCGTCTCCCCGGCTGGGGCCGTCGTGGAGGTCACCATTTCTGAGAGCCAGGACAAGTGCAGGGAGATGGCCCAGGAGCCAGGCTCCGCCGCCAGCCTCGTGCTCATCCATAAGGACATGGGCTTCGGTGCCTGGGCGGAAGTGGTGGAGGTGGAGGCGGGCACCTGACGTTGCGCCTCCCCCGCCAGAGCCTTCCATAAAAGGTTTGGTTTCTAGCTGCCGTGTGTCCGCGCCTTCTTTCTCTTGGCATGGCCTGGTAGGGGCTGGACTTTCCTATGAGAACCAGGTCAAGCACTTCCCTTCCTGCTACCAAACCCCCAAATTGTTTCCCAAGATTATTAGGTCAGACTTCTGGTTGGAGAGCTTTTCACTGACATCCAGTAGAGCTTGTTCTGCCACCTTCGCAGAACCCCGCTGAGGCGACCCCACCCCGCCTGGGTGCTGAGCCTGGCGTAGTCACACCCACAGAGCTCCCTCGGGGCAGGCGCTGATGTCGAGCCAAATGGGTGACTCCAAGGACTGAAGCAGCTCAGTGCACAGCCCTCATGCCCCAGCTCACTCTGCTTTGGGCTGTGCGCCACTGAGTGCCGTGAGGTGGCTCCTCATCCTGGGCTACAGGGTGCTGGGCTCCCGGGAAGGGAGCCGGGCCTTAGCAAGTTCAGTGTAGCCCTTACAACCCTGGGAAGGTCAGGGACCTGTTCCTGCCCCAGAGCACAGGTTACTTGGGGGTTAGCATTCGCACCCACATAACCCAGCAATGGCGTAAGGGGCCCAGCCTCTGCAGTGTGCCGCCTCAGCACGGCTGGCTCTGAGTATTGGGGGAGGGGAGAGTTGTGCAGGAGAAGGCGCTGGGATGAGCATGGGCAGGCCTGAGCAGCATGGCCGCCACCAAGAATGCTGGGAGGGAGGCGGGACCTAGGCTCAGGAGTTGGACTTGATTTTCAAGACCGTGAGAAGCCCTGAAGGATGTGATCAGATTTGTGTGTGACAAGACTTGGAGGAGGGGTGGGCGGACGCGGTTGTGGGAAATGAATTTGCTGCCTAGGAGGCTGGGGAGAGGGCAGAGCGGTGGAATGACTCGCCGAGTGTCCATGGAACACTTCAGTTAGGATTGTAGCAGCGACAGTGTCTACGTGTCTACGCTCAGGTGGCTTGCACTGTAGCGTGGGAAGGGCATTACAGATGGTCAGGCTGGGAAGAGCAGTGAAGCAGAGGCACGCAGGGTGGGGGTGTGCAGAGCATGTTGGCCCAGGCCTCTGGGGATGTGACTGGAGCGGAGGTTGGGGGGAGCTCCGTTCTAGGCAAAGACACAGGTCAAGAGCAAGGAGCAGAGTGACCAAGGCAGGGCAGGGCGTGGAAGGAGTGAGGACAGAGGGTGCCCTGGCTGGGCAAGGACTTCGGATGGATCCATTCTCGGAGACGTACAGGCATCCGATTTTAAAGACTAAGTGGATACCGAGAGAGATCGGACCCATGGTTTCTAACTAATTTGGGGGGCGGGGGGCAGGCTGCTATGGTTCGGTGTGCTCTGTCCCCAGGAGTCCATGTGTTGGAGCTCAGCTCTGCAGTGTGGCGATGTCACACGTAATGACCTTGACAGGCAGGGCCTGGTGGGCGGTGGTGACGTCGCTGGGGGCACTGCCCTCAGAGCGGGCTTAATGCCGGCCTTGCTGAGTGAGCGAGTTCTGTGATGGTGGATTTACAAAAGAGCAAGACAGCCCCTCCCCGGGCTCTGGCTTCCTGTCTCACTGTGTCACTCGCTTGTACAGTGTCACTGACCCTGAGGTCTTTGCCATACCGGGCAGAAGCTTGTGCCATGCTCATGGACCTCCAAAATTGTGAGCTGAGTAAAGCTCTTCAGGAAATCCCCAGGAGCTGCCATCATGTTGTAGCGGGTAAAGCCCCTGCCTGTAATGCCAGCATCCCATATGGGTGCCGGTTCGAGTCCCGGCTGCTCCACTTCCTGTCCAGCTCCCTGCTAATGCACCTGAAAAAGCAGCTGAAGATGGCTCAAATCCTTGAGCCCCCACCCCTGGCTGTTGGCGGTCATTTGGGGAGTGAACCAGCAGATGGAAGACCTCTCAGTTTCTCCCCCCTCTCTGAAACTCTACCTTTCAAATAAATAAATAAATCTTAAAAAAAAAAAAAAAGTGCCCAGCCTCAGGTGTTTTGGAGCAATGGAAAATGATGAGTAGTACAGAGAAGCAAGAAAGACAGGAAACACGTTGTGTTCTCACCTCACCCTCTGCTGTCCTGCCAGACAGGTGCCGTCATGCCTGACTCAGATGAGAAGCTGTGGCTTAGCGGCCGTGAGTAACTGGCCCCCACCAGGTCATCAGCAAAGGGAACAACCAGGACTCACTCCAAAGTGGGTCATCTGGGGGCTCGCAGCACCTGCCGCCTGCCTCCGGATCGCCACTGACGTTAACCCGGGTGCCACCCAGTCCGAATGGCTTTCCTGTCTAACAGGAGGCAGCAGCAGGAAATCGAAGCAATCTAGGGAGAGAGAGGCCCCAGTGGCCACAGCCCGAGACGGAACTGCGGCAGTCAGTGCCCGCTCTGCCAGCCCTGCAGGGCTCCATTGCTAGAGCCTGCTTCCCGCGGGGCTGCTTCAGCTCGGCTGAAATGAGCACCCGCCCCAGCATTGTTGGCATAACGGGTAAAGCCGCCACCTGCGACACCAGCATCCCATATGGGCACCAGTTCAAGTCCTGGCTGCTCCACTTCCGAAATTATTGTTATTAGATCCCTGCTAATGCACCTGTATGCCCAAGTGCTTGGGTCCTGCCACCCGTGTGGGAGACCCGGATGGAATTCCAGCTGGCTTCAGCCCCAGCTGTTGCAGCCTTTTGGAGAGTATGAAAGATTCTCTGTGTGTGTGTGCACGCGTTAACTCTGCCTTTCAAATACATAAGTCTTTAATAAATTTTTTTATTTAATAAAAAATAATCTTTAAAAAAAACAGTGAGCAGCGTTCAGCCCTCTGCCTCTCTGCTGAGCCGCCCGCCTGGTCTGGCCAGGTGTAATCTCTCCAATCATAATCTCTCCAATCAACCATGTAACCTCGCTCCTTCCTCCCCACGCCCCGCCCAGTCCGAGCGACTGGGCACCCTCTCAGGCTCTGTCTGGAGAGGTGCCCACCCATCCTTACGGATGTCCCTTCCCTAATAAACCTTGCTATTTTACCTCCAAAAAAAAAAAAAAAAACAGTGAGCAGCTGGGCAGCATCTGTGCGGCACCGTTAGGCAGCCCGGAGTCGTGCTGGCGGCTTGACATTGAGCTGCGCTGGGTGGTGGTGAGGCCTGTGCACAGCCCACAGCGATCCCCAGGCCCACACCAGACGCTCATGTCCCAGTTCTCATCCCCCACTCAGACGAGAGCTTTCTTCCCCCACTGAGGCCACCCTGCTGCCAGAACAAAGCCAGCAAATCCGCAGCATGTGACAGGGGATCTGCGCCCTGCCAGCCCTCAGGCTGATAATGGGGGTTCTGAGGCATCATGGGAAAGCAGAGGCCCGGGGTCCATCAGCAGCAGGCGCAGGACAGAGCTCAGCCTTCTAACTCCTCCTTTAGTGCTCTTCCAGCTGACCTACCAGGCAGTGGCCATTCTTAGAAAGGCTGACCACTGGAATGTAGTTTTACGAATTCATTCGAGAGGCAGGGAGATGGACAGAGCCGCAGATGGAAACCTCATCGGCTGGGTCACTCTCCAAATGCCTGCAGTGGCTGGGGCTGAACCACGCAGAGGCCAGGAGCTTGGGACTTGGTCCGGGTCTCCCATGTAGGCAACAAGGACTCAACGGCTTGAACCATCTTCACTGCCTCCCAGGGTGCACCTTAGCAGGAAATGGAATCAGAAGCAAATGTAGGGCCGGCGCCATGGCTCACTTGGCTAATCCTCCACCTGTGGCGCCGGCACCCTGGGTTCTAGTCCCGGTTGACGTCAAATTCTGTCCCGGTTGCTCCTCTTCCAGTCCAGCTCTCTGCTGTGGCCCGGGAAGGCAGTGGAGGATGGCCCAAGTGCATGGGAGACCAGGAGGAAGCACCTGGCTCCTGGCTTCGGATCAGCACAGCACGCCGGCCTAGCAGCCATTTGGAGGGTGAACCAATGGAAAAGGAAGACCTTTCTCTCTGTCTCTCTCTCTCTCACTGTCTAACTCTGCCTGGCAAAAAAAAAAAAAAAAAAAAAAGCAAATGTAGGACTCAAACCCAGGTGCTGCAGTACAGGATACAGATGCCTAGCCTGTATCTTAAGCATTAAGCCAAAGACCTCCCACTCCTATTTTTTTGTTTTCGTTATTTTTTAAAAAAATCTGAAAGGCAGAGACAGAGAGATTTTCCATCTGCCGGTTCACTCCCCAAATGCCTATGACGTCAGAGCTGGGTAAGTCTGAAGCCAGGAACCTGGAATTCAGTTCAGGTCTCCCGCGTATGTGGCAGGGACCCAAGTACTTGAGCCACCACCTGCTGCTTCCCAGAATGCACACCTACAGGACGTGGATGGGCAGTGGAGTGAGGGCCTGCACACTGTAATCATAATTTTAAAATATTGTGTTTATTCACTTACTTGAAAAGAAGAGTAACAGGGAAAGATCCACCTGCTGGCTCAGGCCCCAGGGGGCTGCAACAGCTGGGGCTAGATGAGGCCGAATCCAGAAGCCCAAAACTCCAGCTCAGTCTCCCACACAGGTGACAGGAATCCAAGTACTCGGGCCTCAGCTGCTGCCTCCCGGGACACTGGCAGGGAGCTGAGTCAGAGCAGAGGCAGGACTCCATCCCAGGCATTCCAGTATGGGATGGGAGTGTCCCGAGCAGGGGCTTAACCCACTGCGCCACAGTGCTCATCCCAACCAAAACAGAAAACAGTGATCAGACTGAGAAAAAACTAAACACCTAAAGAGACATAATTTCAGCCAAAAAGAAAAGAGAGTTTTAATAAGGTAAATTTACAGGGGCTGGCACTGGCACAGCAGATTAAGCCACTGCCTACAATGCAGGCATCCCTTGTGAACATCGGTTCGAGTCCCAGCAGCTCCACTTCTATCCAGCTCCCTGCTAACGTGTCTGGGAAAGCAGCAGAAGATGGCCCGAATGCTTGGGCTTCTGCACGCATGTGAGAGACCCAGGTGGAGTTCCTGGCTCCTGGGTTTGTCCTAGGTAGCCCCAGCCATTTGGGGAGTGAACCAGTGGGATAGAAGACTCTCTCTCTCTCTCTCTCTCTCTCTTTCTCTCTCCCCCCTCTCTCTTTAACTCTGCCTTTCAAATAAATAACAAGATAAATTTATAATTTTTGAAGGATTTACATTTTTGTTGATCTATAAAAGGACAAGGCTACCAGGAGACAGGCACAGAACTCTGGACTGGGTTTAAGAATATCTGTACCCCTTGGGGCTCTGGGGCTCTGGGACTCTCGCTCTGTGTCTTGGAACAGGATTCTAGTGTTTTTGGTGATTAGAGAGCTTGTTGTTACAGCACAATGTTTGTCCTACCTACCCCTGGTTTTGTTGATACCTATTCGTGGGGCAGGAAGGGAGCCCTTCATCGTGACCTTGTTCCCAGGGGAAATAGGTGCAACAGTGTGCAGGTGTGTGTTTAGGGTGAGACATAGAAATGACACACTCTGCGGCACGGTGCCTCCCCCGCCACCCGGGCTGGGGGTCTTCCAAGGAGAACAGCTCCTGGAGGCAGGGGCTCGGAGGGGGACTGCAGACCGTCGACATGCTGGGTGTGCTGCGGCCCAGAGGAGCTCTTGGGTCCCCCCCAGAGACATCTTTGCAAAGAACACACCCTCTCTCCCTCCCTCTGCAAAGCAGCCAGAGTGGGTGTGGCCTTCCAGTCACCACAGAAACACAGGGCCGTCCTGCTGGAACCCACTTCCTAACGGCAGTCTCAGTTATGGAGGAATTGGGTTGACTTTTCATTGTGAAAAATGTTTCAAATACAGAAAATTAACAGATTAATGTCACCGCCCCCTCACCACCTGGGTTTAATGGTGTTTAGCATTTTACCCTGCTTGCTTCATCTGCTTGTCGTAAATTCTTCAGTATCCTCTCTAACTCATCAAGATTGTAAAAATATAACCATGCGTCATTGGCACGCATCAAATTAACAAGAATTCAGAGCCAGCATTGCAGCATAGCGGGGAAAGCCACTGCCTGCGATGCCAGCATCCCACCTGGGCGCCGGTTCCTGTCCTGGCTGCTCCTCTTCAATCCAGCTCCCTGCTAATGACCTGGGAAGAGCATCGGAAGACGGCCCAGGTGCTTGAGCCCTGCTACCCACATGGGAGACCTGGAAGAAACTCCTGGCGCCTGGCCTTGGCCTGGCCCAGCCCTGGCCATCGCAGCCATCTGGTGAGTGAGCCAGCAGAAGGAAGCGCAATGTCTCTCTGTTTCTCCCTCTCTCTGTAACTCTTTCAAATAAATAAATACATCTTTAAAAAAAACAAAAATACAGAACCAGAAGCGGTGGGCATTCTGGCCTAGCAGTTAAGGTGCCCGTGACCCCCATCAGAGCTCCCTGTCATTGGAGACGCGGGGAGGCAGCAGGGATGACTCCAGTGACCGGGTTCCTGCCACCCACGTGGGAGACCTGGATTGCACCTGTAGTTCCCACCTTTGGCTCTGGTCCAGTCATGAGCATATGGGCATCTGGAGGGAATGAACCAGCTTTCTCTTTCTGTCTGCCCCTCGAATAAATATTTGTTTAAAAAAAAAAACAAGCCACGGCAAGCCACACGTATACACCCACCCGAATGGTTCATGTGACATGGATGGATGCCAGGGGCCATGGGTGAGGAGAGGGGCTCTCGGTCCTTGCTTGTGGGGTGGAAGCTACACAACCACGTGGGATGGTCATCAAGATGGACGCCTGCCACATGGACCAGAAAGTCCACTCCTGGGCATAGACCCGACAGAAATCAGGGCTTACTTACAGGAAAAGTCTTGCACAAGAATATCCATAGAAGTTCCAGTCCTAACAGCCCCAAGCTGGGAACCACTCCAAATGCCCATCAGCCGGCAAGTGGATCTATATGCAATAGCCACACAGTGAGATCCCACGAAATCCTGAAAGGAACGGATTCCTGCTCCACACAACATGGGTGGATCCCAGACACGCACTAGCGAGAACAGCCAGACCCACACAAGGATGTGCTGTAGGTTTTCATTTGTGTGAAGTTCAGAAACGGACACAACTGCAGGGTAGTGATAGCAGTGAGGACAGAGGCTTTCCGTGGGGGCTCTGCTGAGAGGTGACACGAAGGAGGGACCTGTTGGGAGCTGGTTACATGGGCGTGTGCATAGAAATTCGAGTTGCTGGGGTGGGCGACATGGCACAGCAGGTTAAACCACCGCTTGGGAGGCCCCTAGTCCACGCTTGAATGCAGGTTTGATCCAGCTCTCTGCTAATGCTCCTGGGATGGAGTGCAAAATGGCTCAAGTTCTTGGGCCCCTGCTACCCACGTGGGAGACCGGGATGAAGTTCCAAGCTCCTGGGTGTGGCCTGGCTTAGCTCCTCTGTTGCAGCCATTTGGAGACTGAACCAGCAGGTGGAAGACTTCTTTCTCTGTGTCTCTCCTTCTCACTATGTCACCCTGCCTTTCAAAGAAATAAATCTTATATATGTTTTTTTGAACTGTTGACTTGTATTACTCGTTGTAAGTTAAACCTCAATGTAAAATACATAAAACTGCATATATATATATATGAAAATCTATAGGAACTGGCCAGCCAGGAATTAAGGTGACCCATGGTAGTCCTGGTCACCAGTTCCCTGCCAACCCTCTCTCCTCAGACTGTCCATGACTGCCATCCAGACCCAAAGAACAGGACCTGAGCAAAGCCCGACACGGACCTCTGCTTCTCATGTCCCTGCCCTTTGTCCCTGTCCTTCTTAGACCCAGCACTAATATTTGCCTTGCACACAGCAAACAGGAAACAGGGCAGGGAGAGGAGCGGGCTGGGCACAGAAGCCGAGCCAGGCCCGGCCCGGCGCAAACAGGTAGAAAGGGGGAGGGGCGCTGCCCAGAGACCCGGGGGTTGGTGACGGGAGAACAGAGACCAAGGGCCGGCCCTAGCGCCTCCTCCTGGGCAATCAGCTCACACACTCACATCTCCCGCAGCTCAGGAGGGAAAGTCCCCGCAGCGGCTGACCCACACCCTTGTCCTGCTGCTGCTGCCTACCTGCTGTGGTTACACCGGCTCCCTGTTGCTCCACCCACGGAGGTGTACTGACGACTCGGCACTGGCTGTCCATCATTCGTTTTACGTTCATTCAGCTCCTTTAGTCCTTGCGGCAAAGTTCTGAGTCCCACTGTGCGGATGAGGAAACCGAGGCACACAGAAATAAAAGCAACCTGAGGCCAGTGCTGTGGCAAAGCAGGTTAAGCTGCTGCCTGCAGAGACGCCGGTTTGAGTCCCGGCTGCTCCACTTCCAATCCAGCTCCCTACTAATGCACCTGGGACAAGGAGTGGAAGTTGGCCCAAGTGCTTGGGCCCCTGCACCCATGTGGGAGACCTGAAAGAAGCTCCTGGCTCCTGGCTTAGGATCAGCCCAGCTCTGGCTGTTGCAGCCATTTGGGGAGTGAACCAACAGATGTTAGATCTCTCTCTCCCTCTCTGTAACTCTGCCTTTCAAATAAATAAACACACCTTTAAATAATAATAATAAAGGAAGCACCATCTTTCTGCATTAGGATTGGAAGGAACAGCAGTGGCCCTCGACTCAAGCTCACCCCTGCCTTCAGAAGGGATAGCCATGGTGGTGACAGTGACCTTTCTTTGTGACTTCCGCCCAGGCCATGCATCCCTGCTCCTGGCTGGTGGGGGAGGGCTGTCTCTCCACTTGTCCCCACGGCTGGCCCTGACCTGCTGACCTGTCCCCCTCCGCTGATTTCTTCACGTTGGTTCAACATTAACCCAGAGGGCTCAGGGCGATCCCTCAGTCCTGGGAGCAGACCCACGATGGAGCACGTCCCAGGCCTGCGGCTAGCTGGCTGCCTGGCCGCGGCCGCCCTGGTTAGCCTTGTGTGCAGCCAGCAAGGTGGGTAAGGGGGACCTTGGAAGCCGGGACGGACTGCAGGCTGGGGTGCTGGCCATGGGCTCGGGTCTCTGAGTCGGCCCCTCCCCCCAGGCAGTGGGGGGTGCCGTCAGCCCAGGGGGTCAGCTTAGGGAAGGAGGCAGGGGCTCGGGTGAGGCTGTGAGGGCAGCCCCTCACCGGAAGAGGGGCCTGCCGGGTACTTGCGTGTCCCAAGGCAGGCCGGCTCCCTGAGGCCACGGTCCCCGCAGTGTTCCTGGCCCCTCAGCGGGCGATGTCGCTGCTGCAGCGGGCACGGCGCGCCAACACAGGCTTCCTGGAGGAGATGCGGAAGGGCAACCTGGAGCGGGAGTGCTACGAGGAGGTGTGCAGCTACGAGGAGGCCTTCGAGGCCCTGGAGTCGTCCAGCGCCACGGTGAGCCCGGCCCCCGGCCCCGGCCCCGGCCCCCGGCCCCGGCCTCCTCTGGGCCACCCCTGGCGGTGGGGCCCCACTGGGGCCGGGAGCCCCTGCCCCCCGCTGGGGTGCCTCAGCGCCCAGGGCCCTTCCTCAGAGCCCCGCCCTGGGGAGTCGGTCTTGGCGGGTGTGGGGTCGCCCCCTCCTCAAATACAGTCCCCTGCTGGAACCGGAAGTGGGAAACTCCGCAGAGGCTGCCCGGGCCGAGCTGGGTGAGGGAAGGAGACCCCGGTTACTAAGACAGAGCCGACCAGGACCCCGCCACCGCCTCACTCCTGCCCTTGTTTTTCAGGAGGCGTTCTGGGCCAAGTACACAGGTGAGCCTGCCCAGGGCCTGCCCCAGGAAGGGAGGCTGCGGACGCCGGCTGCCCAGAGAACCTTCTAGTGCGTCCAGTCGGTCCCGCTTCCCTCCTGGCGAACTCCCAGGGTCTGCACGTCCCCGGCCAGCCCTGCCCCCCACCCCCGTCCCAAAGATGTTTTTGGATCTTTTCCAGCTTGTGAGCCGGTGAGGACTCCCCGGGAAAATTTCACCAACTGTATGGAAGGTGAGGGTCTGCCCTGGGGGGAGGGGGGAGAGCAGGGGTGGGGCAGGCGAGGCGGCCAGGGTCCCTCCAGCACCGCACCGCACCCTGCCTGTGCGTTCCCGAGCTCAGAAGGGATGGGCCATCGTGGCGACAGTGACCTGCGCCCCTGCGCCTTGAGTCCGTTTTCCTGGCTCTGTGTCTGGCACAGACGTTGCAGGAACAGGTGGGTGGGTGGGTGATGAATGAAGGCTTCCGGCCTCCTCACTGCCTGGGCTGGGCCTCCGCCCGCCCTGGTCAAAGCTTGATGAGGTCACACTCACCCTCCAACGCCTTCGGCGGCTCCCTGTTACCCACAGAGTCAGCACTGGCTTCTTGGCCGGGCACGCTTTGCCAGTTCTGGCCTGAACTTGCCCTTCCAGTCCCCCCCCCCCCGGTTGCACCAAACATGTACCCCAGCCCCCTCGGACAGCAAGCACTTCCATAAATGTGCAGACATGGCCCCACCTCCTGGCCCCTGCTGGCATCGTCACCTCCCCCTAGAACAACCTTCATTCACCTGCCCTGGGCCCTGGGAAGCCTCCCTTCTCCTCCCCCCAGGGTGACAGGGGACCCCACCATGTGGGATTCTTGAACGTCTGTCCAGTCATGTGATAAATAATTTACACAGCCAATATTTTAGGACACCCCCTGCTGTGAGCCAGACACTGGATCAGGGGCTGAGGACCCCCAGTGTTCAGGGAACACACAGTCTCATAGGAAAACGAAAGTGCAAAACGTTGAAGTGGTGTCTGGAAAAGTTCTGTTCAAGACACCCAGAGAACACGGGAGAAGGAGCACCTGTTTTGCCAAGCAGGATCAGGGACGGCTTCCCAAAAGTGGAGTTTTCCTGGCCTTGGGGGCTGCACTGGTGAACACACGGCATTCCAAGCAGCAGGAACAGCATGTGCAAAGGCCCTGAGGCATGAAATGCTGAGATACCAGGGCCAGGCAGGCCAGGGCCAGGTGCCTAGGATTTTGTTCACTTGGAGAATCTCTGTGGGGACAGGGACCTGGCCTGTTTCTGACTGTCATCTTCATGGCTGTGTCCTGGGTACTTGGCACAGTGTTTGCCCCATGGCAGGCACTCAGTGAATATGTGGTGACCGCTGCCGCGTGGGCTGCAGAAAAGCTGGGAGCAGAACAAATGCAGGCTAAGGATTGGGGGCCAGAGAGAGCTTGAAGGGAGTGGACAGAGCTTTGCTGGCAGCGGTGGGGGGCACAGAGTCTCAGCGTGGATGCCAACCTGGCCCGAGGTCTCCGCAGGTCACTGTGCCCAGGGTCTGGGGACGAACTACCGAGGGCAAGTGAGCGTCACGCAGTCGGGCATCGAGTGTCAGCTGTGGAGGAGTCGCTACCCACATAACCCTGAGTGAGTGCCGGCGGGCTGGCCGCGGCGGGGCAGGGACGCGGCCCTTCCGCTGAGCCGTGTCCTCTTCCAGAATCAACTTCACCACCCACCCCGAGGCTGACCTGAAGGAGAATTTCTGCCGCAACCCGGATGGCAGCACCACGGGCCCCTGGTGCTACACCAGAGACCCCAGCGTGCGCAGGGAGGAGTGCAGCGTCCCCGACTGCAGTGAGCAGGGGGGGCTGGGGGGCGGTCCACAACCGAGGCCCACGGGCCTGGCTGGGGCCTGGCAGCCGGGATGGGGCCCGCGCTTCCTTCAGAGCTGGGGTCCGGCGTTCGACACTGGAGGCTCCCCTTGATCCTGGAAGTCGGGTGACCTGGGGGAGTGGCCTCCAGCCCTCTCCTTAGCTTCTCCCTGGGAAGCCGTCCCTAACCATTGAGCCAGAGCTGGCCTCAGGCAGCTCGGCCCTGTGTGATTTCGTTCATCACAGGCGCCAGAGCGTGGCCAGACAGACAACCACACCATCTCAGGTGCACTGCGTGATGAGCCCGTGTTTCTTTTCTTTTCTTTTTTTTTTTTTAAAAGATGTATTTATTTATTTATTTATTTGAAAGGCAAGACTTACAGAGAGCAGAGGCGGGGCGGGGGGGTGTGTCTTTCATCCACTGCTTCACTCCCCAGATGGCCGCGACAGCCAGAGCTGAGCCGATCCAAAAGCAGGAGCCAGGAGCTTCTTCTGGGTCTCCCACGTGGGTGCAGGGGCTCAAGGACCTGGGCCACCTTCTACTGCTTTCCCAGGTCATAGCAGAGAGCTGGATCAGAAGAGGAGCAGCCGGGACTCAAACCGGCCCCCATATGGGATGCCTGCACTGTAGGCGGCGGCTTTACCCGCTATGCCACAGCGCCGGCCTCAAGAGCCCATATTTCTTACGCGACTGTGGGCAGGCCAGGTGGCTCCGCTGGTCTCAGCTGCTGTGGGGTCCACTGAGGGAGGCTGGGCTGGGCTGGACACCTCTGCCTTCACTGATGGCTTGAGCTGAGCTTGGCTCCTTGCTCCAGGGTTGGGCCCAGATCCGTGGCACACATTCAGGGGGACATCAGAACATTTGTGGAAAAATGGAATTAAAATCATCCATTTATTTTGGAATAAAAAATTCTTCTGGTGCCAAAAAAACCTTTTTTTTTCTCCCACAGTATGTGGAAAATGCGCATTCTGAAAAAGCTATGCATGGGCTTCAATATGTTTTTGCACCAAAATAACTCATACTTTTCACTCCATTTTTCCATGAACTTTTTGAAGTCCCCATGCGTTCATGGTCAGGGGGGAGGCAGAATGAGGCAGCTGTTGACACCAGAAATATACCATTTGTGTTTTTTTTTTCAGGTTTATTTATTTATATGAAAGGCAGAGGGGGAGAGAGGGAGAGAGGGAGAGAGAGAGAGAGAGAGAGAGAGAGAGGGGTTTCATCTGCTGATTGACTCCCCAGGTGGCTGCAGTGGCCAGGGCTGGGCCAGGCTGAAGCCAGAAGCCAGGAGCGTCATCTAGAGCTCCCATGTGGGTGGCAGGAGCCCGGGCACTTGGGCCATCTCTCGCTGCTTGTCCCAGGCTCATTAGCAGGGAGCTAGATTGAAGTGGAGCGGCCGGGACACACACGGCAGCCATGTGGGATGTTGGCATTGCAGACGGCAGCTTCCCCGGCTCCGCCACAGCACCTGCCCCGTCACCAGTCATCTTAACCCAAACAGCTGCCTGTGACCAGCATCCGCTGACGTCTGTCCCTGCCCTGCCCTGCCCTGCCCCTAGGGAAACAGAATCCTGGCGAATCTCCCCACAGACACTCCCAGTGGATTACAGCTGGCCCAGGAAGCCAACCCTGGCTCCTGGGCTGCTGCAGATCCTGTTTAGGCCTCCCACCTGCAAGAATGCCTTTAGCAAGCCCTTGAAAAGCAGGCAACAGAAGCCCAGAGAAGTTAGGCTGCCTGAGGTCGCTGGGGCAGACAGCAGCCAAGGCGCGGATTGGAATTCTTGTCTGGCGCCGCCTAGCGGCGGCCCACCCACCCTACTCTCTGCCTCCCCACCCACCAGGCCAGGGGCAAGTGACCCTGGAGCTGAGACCACGCACTGGACACTCCGGGGTGACGCAGCCCCCGCCACTGGAGCCCTGCGTCTCTGAGCGCGGCAGGCACTATCAGGGGCGCCTGGCGGTCACCAAACAAGGGACCCCTTGCCTGGCCTGGAGCAGCCCGGAGGCCCAGGCTCTGAGCAGGGGCAAGAGCTTCAGCCCGCAAGTGCCGCTGGTGGAGAACTTCTGCCGCAACCCGGACGGGGACGAGGAGGGCGCGTGGTGCTACGTGGCCGGGAGGCCCAGCAGCTTCGAGTACTGCGGCCTCAACTACTGCGGTGAGTGGGCCGGCAGAGGTGGGCGTGGGGGGCGCAGGGCCTCTCCCCGTTTACAGACGAGTAAACTGAGGCCCCGGCGGTACCTGTGCTGTCGGCCTCCAAGGCCAGCAGGGGTGGGGTGGGGGTGGGGGCAGTCTAGGGGACGCTCTGAAGAGTGGCCCAGCCCAGCCCAGCCCAGCGCGGACGGTGCCTGGGCCCCTGCAGAGGAGGCCGTGGAAGAGGAGGTACTTGGGCTGGAAGAGGCCATCGAGGGGCGCACCACGGAGCAGGAGTTCCAGACCTTCTTCAACCAGGAGACCTTCGGCACCGGGGAGGCGGGTGAGACGAGGGCGGCCCTGGGGGGCGGCGCGGGGGCGGCGGGGCCGGGGCCTCACAGCCTGCCCTGCTCTGCAGACTGTGGGCTGCGTCCTCTCTTTGAGAAGAAGTCCTTGAAGGACGAAAGGGAGGAGGAGCTTCTGGAGTCCTACATCCACGGGCGCATCGTCGGGGGCCGCGACGCCCAGATCGGCAGCGCGCCCTGGTGCGTCCGCCTGCCCCGCCACCCGCCCCGCGCTGCCA